TTTAGCCTAGATTCTGGTCGTTTCTTGCAAGGGCCTACCCAAAGCCTCATTGTTTGAATCCTGGATTTGCAAAGCCCTTCCCTGCCTGCCTGCTCTCCCTACAGATCACAGCTTGTCTAACAGACATTTCATTTGGTGCAGCCAAACAAGCTGCTGAATTTCACAGGGGTAGCGTTCTCGCTCTGCTGTAACCGTGGTCTCTGCCACTAACGTTTCAAATTCTTTTGTTTTGCTGGACCAGAGATGCTTAACCGATTCATTTTCATTTCACTGCTAACCAATTTATAAGTGAATGCTATGTGGAGTTGGCCAGGGTTTGCAGAAAAGCCTCAGCCATTACGACGTATGTTTTTATAAAGGGCTCATGTGAGCTCGCAGGTGGGACAGAGCAGTCTACCACCAAGGTGAAGGTTTGTAGCAATAGGTTTAACCTTCAGGTCTTGTTCAGTTTTCACCAAAAACCAAACAACTGCATAAGGATTGAAAAAAACTGGCTGAAAGAAATAGGTTCACCAAAACAAGAGTGAGATGTCTCTCTGGAAACAAACCACTCCTCCCCGTTCCCCACACTCCAGTATGCAGACAGAAACAGATACGCTGAATGAATACAAGCTCTGAGTGAGTCAAGCCTTAATAACGCATTGTGTAACACAGATTTTTATCCTTACATCTACATCAGGATAAAAATCACCCACCTTATTTTTGAAAACCGGCATTAAATTAGAATGAATGAATACGAAAAACATGGCAAGATTTGCTTCTATTATTTATACGATCTGTGCTATTTTCATACTGCAAAGAAATCAGGAGGGAGGAGCGAGAACTTACCGAAAGTAGAAAAAGCTGTCGTTTGAGCAGCGGTACCGTTTCACCATGAATCCCAGAGCCATGTCTACCTGCTTCCCTGCAACCTCCCGGAGCCCATTCTGAGCAACGGATCCTGTGCTCGTCTACGACTATCTGATAATGCCATAAAATGACTTTTAGTAAAGCAGGAGGATTCCCACGTGGCAGTAAATCCCAACAGGGCAAAACCCTCCCAGCTGTCTGCAGAGCTTTAGTGCAGTCGCTGAGACCATATGCAGCCAGTCTCAACCATCTTCGCTCCCTCACCATAAACAAAACTGAGGTGAGAACTGTCGGTCCACTTGGAAATACTCTCAAATTCCTGGCCACAAACCGAAAATATTAGTTTGGTCTCCCCTTTCAAATGTAATTTTCCTTAAGTCTTTTCTCATGCTTTTTTACATGTTTTATGTATTACTGACACTGAGAAAATGTTGGACACAAATGTGTGAAGAGCTCCAAGAATGCAGTGGGAAACAGGCTAGAAAAGCTGTGAAAGATGATACGGTAACATGGTGCCAGATAGCCTCATGGCAAGAGCCATGAGTGATAACCCGGTGAGACGCCGTACTGGCCACATGTCTAAAGAGCTTCATTCACATCTGGCGCGGGTCACAACTGAGCAGAGTCTAAGTCTTCCCACGTTAGTGCCTTGTAAAGACAAACCACAAGTTTTCAAGTACAACAGACCACCCAGCAAACGACCTGAACCTGGTGTAATAGAAATGATGCGAATCACAGACTGAGAGGTTGTGGATTTTTACAGCACAGCTGGATGCTGACCCACAGTGGGCTCGTTTCTGGAGGGGCACCGCAGCTCTCTCCTCTCCCCATCCACTAACCCAGTCATGCTGAAACAAAGTTAAAAGCTGGAAAAAGTAGTTGGCCAATTGCTTTCTGCTGAAATGGAAAATCTGATTATGAAAAAATCTGCAACTTATGTCCATCACTCCTTCCTACAGCATTCCTGAATCCTTTCTATTTTAAATCAACTCTGAACAGACAGCATCCACCCTCTGTCACCATCCAGCATGGCATGCAGTATTACAGCATCCCAAATCTTGATGTGCACCAGGATAACTAATCTTCCTTACTCCAGAATTTTATAGGTATTTATCTATAAACATCTCCTGTTTCTTAACAGGACCTAAACACCTCAAAAGCATGAGAAAGCAACATGACAGCAGCCTCTACTTCCTTCTGATCCTTGCAGGGTTTCAATTTATAAAGCTATATAATACTTTCTTTGAAGGCAGGGCTCTTGTATTTGTCAGAGCAAGAAAAGGTAGATGCTATCAGTCAGCCTGTCCCTGAAAACCTGTATAACACCATGACATAACCTAGCATCACCTGCTTAAAATGGGAAAGGGCTGACTCACCCGGGTAGGACAGGAAAGCTTTTACTGCAACAGATTGAGACTCATACAGAAAGCACGGAGAGCAGAAGGTGAGAGAATGGCAATTCCCTCTCATGAATTAAGAGTCAGCTGCTATGTGTTATCTTCTTTCAGGCAGAAACAGTTGTCGCTGATTTGTCCCATTGGAAAAAATCCCAAAACAACAGCATAATTCTAAACACAAATCAATCTTTTTAGCCTCCTCTTTCCTCCAGCCCGTCTCCTCCCAGTATACTAATCTGTTCCTCCTCTTCAGCGCTTCATTCCCACATGGTTTCCGAGTTGTTTTTCCTGCTGTTCTACCCACCAATTGCAGTTTTCAGGCACCCTTAGATACAGAGTGAAACACATGGGATGGAAGGGAGAAATTATTGGCAAGTTTCACCTTACCGTGGAACTGAATTTCCTTTATGGTTTTATTTATAAAATACCATTAGAAAAGTAACAGCTCTAATCATAAACTTTCAAAGTTGGTATATTCAATTGGTGCACTGTCTGATTAGACCACAAATGCAAACAGAACTCCATTAAAGCTTCAATCTTTCCAACAAAAGGTAACTACAAGATTGAGTAGCATCATTACACTTTCTTTCCAAAGAGAACTTATTGGCCGTTTGCCACCCTCACCTGCAGCACGAGGCTTCAAACAGAGCCTGAGGTGAGGCTCATGCTTTTGAACAGCAATACTCATTTGTGCAAAGATTTATCTCCAAATAAACTTCATCTCAGCCTGCTTTCCACATAGCTTGGCCACTCTCAAATGATCTCCCTTGCTTCCAAACTGTACCCTCTGTTCACTTCAGCACACGGACCTCTGAAAGGAGGAAGATCACACAGACTGGTAACAAAAACGCTTCGTTCCATTAGTAGCAAATGATCGTGCCAAGTCACAAAACCCCCAAAACACTGCCCCATCTCCTGCCCTACAGATGCAAGATGCATTGCTATAAGGCTAGTGTGGAAGGCCAGAGGAGGAGGGTGACCCGACGGAAAGTAAACAGCAAGCACCGGCTAGTCCCTGTCCAACATCCTGCGCGTCACTGGCTTTCCAGGGCTCTGTCCCCCCAACCTCTGCGTGGACTCTGCCACTGGAACCTCTCAGTTCGTTTCCTCCTGGATCCTCCTTTTTAAATCCATGCCAAGGAGAGTTAAGAGGACTGACAGAACAGAGCAGCTATGCCTAATGCCATCACCGTATGCAATGGATTTTATGCTTTGCAAGCCATCAGAGAAAATCTACGTTTCATTCAAGTCTAGTTGACAATTCCTGCCCACGCTGGCAGGGAGTAGAGGGGGATTGGGTTTTACAGAGAAGGCGGCTTTGCTGTGTACAATATCATGTCTTAAACCAAAGTTGTAGGGATTAATTATAGCTAAATTTATTGGCTTTCCCAGCATGATAGCATTTCCCTTACACTGCAAAAGGAAATTTCATCAGTCCACACTCAGCACGAGTACCAAGTTAGGGAAAAAAAAATATGTTATTTACGGCAAACAGATTTTTGCCCTACAAATCTTCAAGTGAAGCTTACAAACACCGGTAAAAATAACAGGTACTTTATCACATGGTGGTATTATTTAACACGCTTATGCTCACTGAGTTGCTTTTTATAGCCATGTTGCAACTCCCTGAAAATAGGGATTTATAACAAAACTTGACTCCAAACAGACTGGGTGGACATTACTATGACTAAAGGAGCAACATCATCCACATTGTTAGTCACATTTGGTAAGCAGCAGCCTTTTCTGTAACTCGTGAAGTTAACAAGACCTCTAACATCCGAAGCCTTGCTATCTCCATGATTTTATGGTGCTGCCTTTCAGATGGAGAAGATAGCACCATTGATTGAAGCAGCACAGCATGACAGATACAACTAATGAATTCAACTCAGCTAAAGGAGAAGGAAAAATGCACTAAATAATGTAAAAATCAGAGAAGCCTGCCGTGACCTTAAGTACAGGGCAACCTATTTTTCACTCAATCTAGATCTCCTGCTGGGCTACCGTGGAATGTAACACAGAGTAATGTTTAATAAAAACAATCAAGAGACTTTACAAATGGTTAGGAAAAACTGTGTGTGAGAGCTGTTGCTTGCCTTATATACAATCCATTCCCAGCCTGAATCGCCAGCCCAAAACTAAACAAGCAAGAATATACCAAATGGAGGTACTAAATGGTCAGAAGTTACCGAGTTTTCGAGTTCTCTGAAAAACAGATCGTCTGTTCATTGTAGTAACACTGTAGCAACTATACAATCGACTGACATTAGCAAGGATTCTGAATGTGTTTGAACTGCACCGCACACCTCTGGGCTTTGCCAGTCCTAACTCAACTGATCTGCTCGCACCAACGCAATTCCTCATACTGGCCGCTGCACTGATCTGCAGATAAGTATTGCATGCATCAAGGCAAGTTTCTCTAAAGTTGATCAATCCAATGGTTTTGTATCATGAAATTTAAAGTCTGCAGCTTATTTGAAACAGATGCAGAAAAAGTTACTTGAGTCCATACGCTTAACCTGAACTTGCCATCAGCCGTTAAGAGCAGTAAGTTTGCAGTCCTGTGCCAGCAGTACACTGCATACTAAATAACTTCTGACATACTAGAGTCAGCCCCAAAAACCACCCATCTGCCAGTTTAACAATAAATCCCCTTCGTTGCTCTCATTCGATGAGCGCATAGGCATGCTGCATGTGGATTTTGCGAAGTGCCTCTGGATGAGTAGAGGTTGTTTTGGGAGACGTATTGAACCTTACCTGTCATCAGCATTGCGGAGAGATGGGAGACGGAAACTCGTGTTCCTGTCCAACTTTGACTGACTCTTTGTCCTCTTGATGGACCCTTTCAGACGTTTACTGAAGAAGCCCTAAAATGAGACGTTGCAGAAGTGAAACAGGGAAACTGATGCCAGTAATATATCAATCAATGCCCTGCCACTGAGTCCAAACTCAGCAGTGATTCCGGCTGACAACGATTACAGACCATGCTGTACTGGGATTCCTCCGAGCAGGAAGAAAGGCAGGGCTAGATTGTCAATGACAGTTCCAGTATGTGATAGTTTCAAATTGCAATAATTAGCACTACTCATATTACAGGTGCACTTCAATGAATTCCAGCTATTATACAAGAGGCTCAAAACTCCACATTTCTTTAATCAGGAGTAGTCTTAGATATCAGTATTTGTTCCTACTTCCCCTTTACATGCCATGTTTTTAATTCTTGGTCAGATCAAGATGTCTTTTGTTATGAGTTTCTATCGCACCCACAGTTGCACCCAGGTCTTCCTATTTAATTTAGATATAACACGTTAAGTCTTACAATAATTTGTAATTTCAATAGTCTCACTAGCCAGAATTGAAAATTTCGAAAGATTGCACATACTAGTGACTTCAGATACTAGTTCTGGTATTGCTTTGAAGCAAAGCTCAACTCAAAAATCTGCTTATGATCTAAAAATACTAGATCTTCAAGTAATCTGTTTTCTGAATCGCAGACCAAAGCCATGTCAAGTTGAAGGGAGCCTCTGGGGATCATCTAGCCAGCCTCCTGCTCGATGCGGGTGTACTGCCAACACTAGGTCAGCCTAACTCTGACTTGGTCTACCTACGTCTCAAAAACCTCTGGTGATGGAGATTTTACCACCTCTCTGGGCAACTCACTCCAGTGCTGCATTACCCTTCCAGTGAGAAAAATTTTCCTTGTATTCACCAAAAACCTCCCAAGCAGCAATCTGCAGCTGCTGCCTCATTATAGCATCTGCCACTACAGGGAAAAATTTGGCTCCATCATCTTTGTAATTCCCCTCTCCGTTGCAGTAGGCTGCCTCATATCATCCCTTAGCCTTTTCTTTCCCAAATAAACAAGTCCTCAACCTCTCCTCATAGTTCTGTCCTTGTTGATATCATCAAGAGCTACTGCTGTGTTACCAGTAGCGAAACACCAGGACATCTGACCACAGATATACAACAGGGTGTGCGCATCTGTACGCGTGGAGAAATCACAGAAATATTTCAACACCTGCATGTTAGATTTTCTCCTATAGCCCTTTAAATTACTTTAAGCATAATACACATTTTAAATAAACCGTATTGTGTCAAAATATTTCCAGGGCTGGCAGACATATATGCATATACATTCTTTGAAATGATCAAAGCAAATACAGAGGTTCTTAATCCAACAGGATTAAGGAACATTTTACTGGCCAAATCTGTTCTGCTCCTTCACAGAACAGCTGCACAGAGCCACCGTACCCCGTGCACTGCTGTCGGGAGATTTACTAAACACACACGAGTGAAACCACGTTTGTAAAGGATATTATAGACTGGTTATAGGTTGGCAGAATCTGCTCACAGTGGATGTTCTTTTGGTGTGGATGGAACCAGCAGATCTACAGCCTCACTTTAGTAAAGGTCTAGCATCAGTGATAGCCAGCTGGGGCCAGCCCTCTCCCCCATCACCTGTGTTTTGCTAGGACAGAAGTTGAGTACAGCTAATTTTGAACACGGTCGCAAGGTGAGCCTCCACAAGCTGCATTTGGGACAGGTGACAGATGTTGCCCACAGCTGCCTCCTGTAATAACAGAAATCAGCAAACTGGAGACAAACAAGGTCTCCTGTTCTTTCCTATGCAGAACACTGACAAAGCAAGTGTGTTTTACTGGCTCCAGGTGACTCGGCCAGGCTGAAGTAAGCGAGTCGTTCATCTCTCAGACTCGTAAGAATTAGGCCATCACAACAAAATATGACTTTATCTGTAATCTTTTAGTCTGAAAAATCTCCTCTCTCTTTCACCTCGTCAAGGAAGAAAATGATGTTTTATCTACGATTGGACAGGGTGCTACATGATTCCCTCTAAGCTTCCTTTCTCACAAAAAGTGGGACCAGGTGATCTTTTGAGGTCCCTTCCAAGCTGGGCTGCTCTGTGATTCTACAGTATTCAAAGGAAAGGGCTATCACCCCCTTCTCATCAGTGGATGCCAGGTTAATTGTTGGAAAATAAGTTGCTTCCAAAGAGTAAAGCCTGCATTTGGTCAAGTTCAAAACATACGCTGCAAGCATCTCTAAACCAATTTTCCAGTCTCATATTTGCCTTTATCTTCCCATACTTTCAGAGCTCCTTTAGAAACAAAATGTACCCTCTTCCCTTTAAACAAGCACACCCTTTAACTCCCCTCCACTTTTCCTCATTCTGTTAATTCTTGGTCCCTCTGCATTCAGTTTGTCCCTCTTCTTCCACACAATTCACTCCTGTATCCTACCCCTTCTTGGAACCGCACAGTTCCCCTCTCCGTACACACTGGTGGGTGGATGCTCTCTCTTTCTCCTCGCACTCGTTCTCGCTCTGCCGCTTTTTGCAACAACCAACCAAGTGAGTCCTGCTCAGTTGCCAAGTGTAAAAAAAGTCCCACCAAATCCAGAGTTCTTCAGGCCCACACCCATGACATCTTCAGCAAATACAGCAAGACGGCCTGTCTCCTCTCTTCCGTTGAGATTTGGATGGTGATGTATTACTGAAAGCCTACCCATACCTGATGCTGGCTGTAGGATCTTTCCAGCACACGCAGATCATCCTCTCCCAAATACTTGTGTAGGAAACAACCTGCCCACACACACCAGAGCCTGACACACGCCTGTCCACGGGCAGCACAGAGAAACTGGGATGCCCTGTGGGGTGGTGCTGCAGGGGACACAGGAAGAGGGCATCTGTTTTCTGCATCTGAAGGTAGTGCAACATTTAAGGCTGCCCTTCAATTTCTGAAGTTTGCCAGCCAGCAGGCTCCTCAGGGGTGAAAGCTGCTAAATTCTCCTGAAATAATAAAGCAGAAAAGGCCTGATACCTAGATATCGCAAAAAAAAAATTCCCACAAATCTACAGAGAGTGCTGGGGGAAAAGGTACTGTCAAAAGGGAAGAAGTGTTTTTAGCTGTGTGTGCTACTCAAACTCTATCCATGTTCCTGCACTTTTCTTGGTCCTGGTATTGAAAAAGTGCTTTTGAAAAAACCCTGTAATCAATAGATGCTCTTGGGCTTCTCTCGGGGCCATGGCTGGAATTCAAGTAGAGGATGCACAGCACTTTCAAAGGCACTTTCATATATTCTGACCTCTCAGCATAAAAGGTAACAAACCCAACTACAGGGATTCAGATCTGGTGGACCCTGGCTTCATTCCAGTACCTCTCAGGCTACTCAAATTGCAAACACGAAATAACATGTTTTTCTCCCCTTAAGGGCAAATAAGACAAAGCTGACCCAATTCAGCAGAGGCTCAGAAGTATTTATATTGAGTCATTCCAAATCCCACTCAGAGAGGGACCGTGAATATTCATTTTTGTGTGCATGCACAATTTTAAATTGGCATTGCTTTAACATTAGTGGAACATGTTCTTGGTTTAATTGAACATAATCTATTCCCTAATTAAATAAAAATACTATCTGGGGTTGAAGTAGGCTATCCAGAGTTGACTATACAAAAAAATTAGGGTAAGAACATACTTAAGGATAAAAATCATTCAAATAAAGAGTGTACTTATTGGTCATCCTCAAAAGACTTTCAAACATTTGCAATATTCGCTCTCTGCACCTTGCTGGCAGTTCATGCAGGGCCACTGCGTACAGATGGACAACCTGGGAGCAGCATGAAAACAATCACACGTGCCAGAACTGAGCAGAGTTTTTTGACTTCCATTTGCCAAAGGAAATGCTTTTAAATACTGAATGCAGATATAAAAAAGATATAGTGATGAAAAATAAATTTCTATCTGCAACAATACCATCTAACTGAAAGTTTTACTTTCAAACTGCCAGAAATTATGAGACTATTTTCTTAATAAAAAAAAGTACAAAACATTTGGTAGGTTAAATTAGCTAGGATGCAGTTTGAAAAGATCAGTACCATGTAAATGCAGTATTTTAAGAGGAGCCCAGTGAGAGAATAACTGTATAACTTAATCCCTCAAGAGACAGGTTGCATGGTCCGTACCTAATGGGACAAAGCTTAGTACAAATTCCCCTCAGAACCACAGGTTTAGGGGAACAGGGATGGAAAAGAGAGACAGGAGGGGAGAGAGCGTGAGAGCACACAAACACACACTCAATCAGGCATGTGGAATAGGTTCAGAGCAGGTTCATCATCTCAGCCAAAAGCATCAAACACTGGGGTAAGAAATCCCAGTGATACAACATCTAAAAATAATTCAATCCCACTGAGAATTCTATTCATCTCACTTGGAAGTTACGCAACTCATCTCTCTCACTCTGCCAATAAGAAATCGCCACAGGAGAAGTGATAAATTCAGGAGGCTTTTGTAACTTCCCTCCATAGCTGCACAGGGAAGGGATAGAAACTCTGACCCCCAAGTATTTTAAGCTCAGGGATGGTGGTTGTTCAGTGCAGCTTTGGGTTTAGGAAACGCTCCTTCCGTGCCAAAGATGACAACTGTGTCTGTGCTTAATCTCAGCAGAGCAGCACATGAATTGCCCAACAAATCCAAAGCCAGCCCAAGTATGAACTACTCGGCTCTTTATTACTATTACTCCCTATAGACGCACTGATTCCTCACTTTGGAGAGAACAGCCCATGCATACTAAATAATGACTGTCTTTGTTGTTTTGGAAGTGAAAGGTTAACTCAGCCATGAACCGACAGAACTATATATAACACAACTTATCCATCAATAAAATGCAAGAGTATGACTGGAAGTTTCAAAGCACAAAAACTAGGGTAAAATGGGCAACAATAAAGGTTCATCTTATATACAGTGCTGTGGCTTGCAGCACTGTTACCTACATTAGGTACTTCTGGGGACCAACACATTGCCTTTTGGAGGCTTGCAATGCATCTTGAACATCTATAAATCTCGATGAGGAG